TTAAAATTGCACTGATTCCCTCTTTGTTTCCAGATGGAACTATTCGAGTATGCGGAAGTAGACAATGTGATTCAATTGAGAGAAAATGTAAGTAGATTTCAGAATGGTAGGTTGGAATTAAATGTGGGTCTTGAGGTGGGAAATCTGAAAACTACTGTTTCGGCTAAGTTTTTAATTGATTACCTTTTTACATTGCAATGCCTCAGTAAAGATGTTTTTGAAGATTCTGGGACTTCCGGGTTAGCGCCATCGTCGAATGGCGGATTCCCTCCGAGCTCCGGAGGGAATCTGCTCAGCAGGGGTCGGGTCCTGCCGCGCCGGCGACGGGGACCCTTAAAAACCACGGGCGCGGAAGCCCGTGGACCTGGTGACTCGGCAGGCACCGTTTGCGCCCCCCGACCCGCGAAGGAGCCTTTTTAAAGGCTACGGGACGGGGAGCGGCGCGGTGCTGAGAGTCCTCTGCTTCCCCTGCCGAGTGAAGCCGCATGCCATGGACGGAGAGCGCTGACTTCTTCCTTAGAACATTTGGATTAAAAGCAACAACCCGTGAGTAATACGGAAATTGGACTTAAAAGGAAAATTTTTTTCTTTGAATTTGGCACGATCGGGGAAGGCGCAAAGAGGAAGTCCGTCTCCCCGCCTTGTAAACAATTTAAAGCAAGGACTAGATAACTAAGGTTGAGAGAATATCTTTTCTTTATTGGATAAAAGTTATTAATTTCACGATTGGAAAGTACAAGTAATTTTGCTGGAGGATAAGAGTTGATTTTGAGAGTGAAGTGCAACCCCCCGGGAACCGGGAGTGATCCGAGAGAGCCTGGTGAAGAGATACAGAAGATTTTGACAGCTGTCAAAGTAGCTGTCAAAGTTGGGGAATAAAAAGAGAACTTTGTTTCTGGTGCCTTTGCTGGCTAGATTTGTTACAATTTGGATATAAATTGTTGAAAACAAGGAAGAACAAGTTATTTGACTTTTGGGTTGGAACTGGAAGGATACTAAGTAACCATAATCCCTCTAGAGGGGGTTTTGGGACATTACAAGAATGGCTGTAAGTGGAAAAATACTCATTGAGCTGAACAGGACTTTTTATCTCCTGGGAAAGCTTCAAGAACAAAGCAATATTTTGACTACAGGGTTCTACACTGAAGAGACAGTAAACATATTACTGAAATGGAAGGGACTTGACTCAAGTTTTTGTTCCTGAACAAAAAGCCTGTAGCGGAACAAAGTTTTTGCAGCTGAGCAGGAAAAGAAACCTGAGAAATGTGATGAAAGGGAACAAGAGATATATGATGATCTGGAAGGGAATGAAGGAGGAGTCACATCACGCGCAGAAGATCAAGGAAGGCCAAGGCCTGTTAGGAAGGACATAAAGGAAAACAAGAATTGGAATGAAAATTTGGTTTGAATTGGACAATGAAGATTGGAGAGATCTCCTGATGTGGAGATCTGAAGATATGGATTACAAATTTCAAGATGGAAGTTGGAGCATTTGGGACATTCAGACTTAAAAGGATTAAGAAACAAGATTTGAGCTTCCACTTTTAAATATAGAGGTCTGGATGGAAGAAAAATGGACATTTTGAGACAGAGCTTCTCCGAGATTTGGTGCTTGATATAAAGGACTATCAAAAAAACCGGCAAAGAGGAACTGAGAGAGAATTAAGGGCCTCGGATGTGAGGTCTCCAGGCTGATAGCAGATAGACTGATGGACATTGGGGATCGAAACCGGGAAAGGGGGGTTGGAGTTTGGGAATCCAAAGGGTGTACAATTATATTTTGAATTTCTTCTTTTTTATTTTGTTTTGTTATGAGTATAAAAAAGGGGAATTCGTGGAAGGGAATTGGGGTCGACCTTAGAAAAAGATTTTAATGTTTAAAGACTGTGGATTATAAAGGGAAAGTGGCTATATAAAATGAACTAAATTGAATAATGGGCTAAATACAATAAGGTCAAAAACTCGGGATAAGAACTTGTTGAACTAAACAAATGGAAATGGAATACAAGAAGGGGAGGTGTGGGAAGTCTTGGAAAGATGTTATTGAAAGTAAGGTTTAAATGTAATGTTTTCTTTTTCTTTTCTTTTTTTCCTTTTTTGGATTTTTTGGAAATTTCAATAAATATGATATTTTTTTTAAAAAAAGATGTTTTTGAAGATTATGAAGGAAGACAACAGATCTTGTCCCGTGTGGGATTTAAAAAACCAATGCCACTAATATTTAGGCAAAATAAAACATTTATTGTTTTTATCAAACTTATTTTATCAAACTGAAATATTATCCTGACCTTCAGATATAGAAAATGTTATACGTTCCTGGACACCAAAATCAAATACTTGGCAGATGGCATCAAGCATATTTATCTCTTGCCCTGGGCAAAAATGTGGAGGGGGAATGTTAACATTTCCAGAGTACCAGCATCAAAGCTGCATGTACCATGAGAGGCAGGGACTCCAAGGCTTCTCTATATGACCTATGAGGTTTATGAGTTTGATGCAGCCTTCATCCTAGCACCCTCTAGCTATTCTTGACTACAACTCCCATCAGTCCCAGCCAGCAAAACTGATTGGGGGTTGCAGTCCAGAATAAATGTTAAATGGCTTAATTGAACAATAATTTGCTTTAATTGAAGTTTTTTGGTGGGCCCCAAACTTTTTCGTAGGCTGTTGGGAGTTTTGTGGGTCCTAGGCACTGTTGGAGATTCATTCCCATGTCTGCAGTCATGGGATTGTTGTCTACCACATGACGGTGTATGTTTTCATTCCACAGTGTGGGAAGTGACAGAGACAGGATGTTTTGTGTTACTTTCTTCCGTGAAGTGGGACTATTGTCCTTTGTTCTTTCTCCTTGCTATCTGATGAGAAAGAGGCAGGAGCTAAGTCAGGATGCTCCGAGTGTATTATATGTAAATAAACGTAGATTAGCCAAATGCTGAGCTACTGAGTTCTGTTACGCAAACTCTGATTACTCTGCGGATCCCTAAGTGTGCTAATGCATTAGTCGCTGCGATGTTCGGGCAGATGAAAGCTTTTGAAGCTCCCGAATGATCGACCAGGAAGGAAAGAACATGCCAATCGGCATGTGTCTCTGCCAGGATTCTACACGAGAGTAGGACGCTCCTAAGAGGCACTGCATAGATACAGATAATCCAGCCCTTCAAGGGGCTAGTTCTAGTTTTGATCGGAGCAGTAACACTGAGGGAATTAGAGTTTCTTATTTCTAACCCTACCACAACCTCCAGCATTGCTAGTAGTCCTACAGGGAGAAAAGGTATCTTACAGGTATTCTGAGGTTCTTTTCAGTAACATGGAGTAGTATCAAACTTGTGAACCCTATGTTTTGTCCCTTCCCCTAATCTCTAATTCTGTCCATACTGCCAGTGATCTCAGGAATCATCAGAGAACACAAGAGTAAAGACATACAGCAAGAAGTTAAGACAGAATTTGTAATATTCTCTTTCATTATCTGCGATGCTGCGTGGCAAATTTCTAACTGGCTTTCTGGTGATAATGAGGGAGAATGACTTGTTGCAGGAACTGGAGCTCCAGGTAAAGTTTTAAAATATATATATATATTACTTTAGGATTTCATTTATATATCACTCTTAAATTAACATATTGCAGAGTGGTTCAGAAATAATAATGTAATACGCACAAAGAAATACTAGTACAAACCAATTCATTACTTTTAAAATCTTCAGAATTGTTCTGTAAACAAAACAAAACTAAAGCAGTGAAGTGAGGTGTTAAATAAAATGTTCAACAGATTAAATGTTCCAGACCCGAATTAGAGACTAAAAGGCCCAGGTTTAGGGGGAGGGAATGTAGCAACAGGTAGACATGGCCTCTCAACAATCAGGGGTTTGTATGACCAGTTATAATTGGGAAACACATCTGAACCACTTAGGGAGAAGAAGGACAAAAAAAATAAAACCAGTGGCTGTGTTGAACATTAGGAAAAGGTTTTTCAGGGTGTGGGCAAGGGGTTTGCAACTGAAAAGATGATTTATCATACAGTTTCCAGTTGCTGGTTGAATCCTTCCTTAGGATCTGGCAGTTCTCTTATCTCTTGCTTTCAATGTGGTGTGCATGAACTTGACTGCCCTCCTTTAACCTTGCCCTATTGACACAATGGGCCCCTCTCATTACAATCTTCTACACACAAACACAAAATATGATATATATATAATATATAATAAATTAGAGGTACAAAAATTACCTACTGTAGTTACCCGATGTCAAAACTTTACTTATTAGCAACAGTCCAGTCTATCATTAGGCCCTCAGCTCCCCCACTGCAATACTCCCTGCCCAAAAGAGTAATGCTTTTTCCTAATGTTTCTAGGCTTTGTGGATTGTGCCACATCTAAATAAAAATGACCAAATGGTCCAGAGTCTTGATGTTCACAGCCATTTACAAATAAAGTGATACCTATCACCTACCAAGCCCTACTTTCACATATGTGCTATGCATAGCCAAATCTCAGGCCATATGTTAATATACCCACCATTTGGCATTAACATCTTTTGCTGTAACCTAAACTCTCAGCTGGAAGAGGCTCTTGAAGGCACCGGTCAATTCAAGCTGAAGGCTGGCAAGCCAGAGCTGCGAGACTTGGTGGAGAATTTACAAGATTCCAGTGGGGCCGTTTTCACTGACCTTGTTGAGGCAGTCCTCTACTTCCTTTATGCTCTAGATGGTAAGCATTATCCCTCTCAAAATATCAGAATCAAGTATTTGACTTGAATGGAGAACATTTCAGCCCAGGAGCAGCTGAAAGTAAGGATGGAAGGACAGATCATCCTTAAGACAGATGCCAGAACTAAAGCTGGTTGAAAGCTCACACCTGCCCCCCAAAATTTGAGATGTGGTGGTATTTGCTTATCATTTTCTAGTTGGGATGCTCAAGGAATTCAGCCTTTGCAAGCTCCAACCTGATGAATGTGCAGCCTGGACCTTAGCTATCCATAAGCTTCCATGTCTTGTCACAACTACATAAGACAACTAAATGGGTTACTTTTATACATTCAGAGTGTTTGGGCTAGGCAGAGGCATCCTACAGGTAGGATTAAGGATTATCAGTGGGCAAGGCTCAAACTGTAGGACTCCCACTCATCTCAAAGAGCCCTGCAATCTTCAGGACAGATGCTGGAGATGCCAGACTGTGACAACAGTTATCTTCCATATATATATTGATCCTGCACAGCTCCTTTGCCAGATGTGGACATAATCCTCCCCCAAAAATGAGCTCTTAGATTCTCTGATCCCTAAACAGAGCACTTTGAGAATATTTAAGGGAGATAGCCATAGAGGAAGACAAGTAATTATTTTGAGAACAGTGAGGCAACTTACAGCTGCTAACTGAAAATCCTCAAAATCTTTGCCAGGTCTCTGCTTTGGCCTTGCATTTCACAGAATGGAACCCATTCCTGAAACTGACAATATTCCTCACTTTTCCAGAATTGACAGAGGAGCAGCTGATACTCCTGGTAGAATCCGTGGAGAAGAAGATTGTTAACAGTCAGCTTGCACTGGTAAGGGAAAATTCCAGTTAGTGCTTAAGGCAGAGAGAGAGAGACCACTAGAAGATACTTTTCCTGGAAATGGGCGAGGTTAAAGATATGCAGAATGTCACTACTGCACATTCACAAGTATAAGGTTTGTGCGCATCCTTGGCTGATCCATCAGATCAGCACACATAACTCTTCCATATGGCTGTGAGTAAGTATTGTGGCAACAAGTCAAGCTTAGGAATTATTTTTTTAAAGGCAGCAACCCTTTGTGTGCTTACTGAGGAATAAGTCCCACTGAATTTGGAGGTGTGTGCTTTCTAATAAAATTGAACAACATAATGCTTACTGTACAGTATAAACTCAAAATAGGAATTCTACAGTGATGCATGCTGCACCTTTCGTTAATGTAATGAATTGAATGGGCATAGCAAAAAAGGAATTCAGTGTTAAACAAGTGTAAAGTGATTAACATTGGTGCCCAAAAACTAACCTCACATAAACGCTAATAAGGTCTGAATTCGCCAGGAAATCAACCTTCAGGTTGTAGTGGATAGATCAATGAAAATGTTAACTCATGGTGCAGCAGCTGTCAAAAAGGTGAATTCTGTGTTAATGAGCAATAGGAAAGGGATCAAAAAATAAAACTGCCTGTATCATAATGCCATTACACAAATCTATGGTGCAACTACACATGGGAATATTATGTACAATTCTGGTCACTGTAGAAGCTGAAAAGGTTTCAGAAAAGGGCATCAAACTGATCAATAGGCTGGAGCACTTCCACAGGGAGAATAAGGTTACAACATATGGGGGTTTTTAGTTTATAAAAAATGCAAGTAAGAGGGGAACATGATAGAAGTGTATAAAAGTATGCCTGGCTTGGGGAGAAAGTGGATGAAGGCATACATACACACACAACTCTCATAATACTAGACCCTGAGAGTCATCTGATGAAGCTAAATATTGGGAAATTTAAGACAGACAAAAGAACTATACTACAGAATTTGCCATCCACAGGTATAGCAATGGCCATGAACTTAGATAGCTTTAAAATGGAATTAGGCAAATTCATGAAGGGTAAGACTATCAAGGCTACTAGCCATGATGGCTATGTACTAGCCTCCAATGTCAGAGGCAATATGCCTCTCATTATCAGCTCCTGGGAATTACAAGTAGGCAGCTTGTTATCTGTAGGCTTCCTTATAAGCATCCGGTTCACAACTGTGAGGACAGAATGCTGGACTTTGGCCTGACTCAGCAAGACTCTTATATCCTCATTATGTCTATTGCTTTTCAACACTGATACCATTCATCAAGTAATGGTATTACACACCAGAAAGTTCTGATTTTGCCTTTTTCTTGTTTGCAAAGGTCGGAAGCATCCTAGATGACTTCAGCAGAAGAGAAAAAGTGTTTACCATAGAAGCCAAGTTCTTAAGCGAAGAGGAACTGAATATAACTGGAGCAATCATCGAAATGAGTGGAGTCACGGTGCAAAAAAATGGATCCAGTCTTGCTGGGACTGGAAGTCCTGATGCTTTCTCAGCTCTCTGTGCACTATATGCAGCTCTGTATGCACTCAGTACCCTGTCTACCTAGGTATCTATGTGTTCAGAAGTCAGTCTCACTAAAGTCAATGGAGCTTACTCTCAGGAAAGTGAGTACAGGGTTGCCGTGTTAGTCTTTTATCCTCTTTGCATTCTGACCCTCTAGAATCCCACAGTATCCACTTTGTTTACGTCTTTAAGTCTAATGCTTGTTCATGGATAGAGGCCATTGCTTTAATTCAGTGCCTCTGCTGACTCCCTACTATCTAACATGTATAACTATGGATAAGTTCAGATTTAATGAGGAGCCATGGTTTCCTTCCGTAAGAATGAGCTGAAGATTGCCCCTTCCACCTTCATTTGTGCCTGCAAGAAGACTGAAGATTTCTGATATTCTAACCATCTTCACTCAGAGCCATAGAACAGCCTATTGGAATGTGAGTAGTATTTCTACATGTGCCTTGATTATCTTCAAAAAATACTAGTATGAGAGTTTTGTGGAGTTTTGTTACTACTATCCAGAAAGAGAGAAAATGAACAGATGACCTAACTCTTGCAGAAGTTGTGTGTAGTGGCTGCTGGATCCAGATTTTAAGTCAAAACACATACTGTATTAAAGATCTCTTTTCTTTTAATGTTGGTGTTTTATTAATCAGCAACAGTTAAGTGGGAGAATCGGGTCTCATCCAAAGCTATTTACAAATCTTACTTGCTACTTTTTCCTCCATAAGTAATTGCTACATTATAGTCACAAAAGTGAAGGAGCCATAACATCGTTTTGTTACAAACTTACAAAATAAAACATGGTCTTTTGATATAGTGTCTCAGATTATTACGTTACGTGTTTTTGTTTTGCTGTAAATCACCCTGAGATTCTCAGGTGAAGGGCAGTATAATAAACAAAGTTAATTTTCAAAGCAGCATACACATAAAATCCAATCTTTTTTTGCAAATGGCACAGGTACGCCATATTTCACTTTCATCCAGAATTTTCAGTGCAACCTTAACTCTGGCATAGCAAAAATTATGCTACAGGTTCTCGGCAGCAAGATCAATCCTGTTTAGCAGCTGCAGGTATTTTTATCTTTATCCATACAGAAACAGAAGTGTGGCCTGAAGCTGGAACTTTCTCAACAGATGGCTATCCAGTCTCTGCCTGAAGACCAGGCAGCCAACCACCCCTCTAGGTCCAATTGCCAAACTGCTTCAAACATCAATACGTTTACTCAATTTTTAATCCACACTTCAGTTCTGTGGGTGGAACTTGATATCCGTGATAGGGAGCTACTACCACAAAAAATGGCAGCCCTGATCTGACTCAGCTCATTGTAATGCTACTGATCTTCTATCCACCTATTTCCCTGGTTTTGCCAATCTTAGCCAATGAGGTGAAGCACAGACAGGAACGAACCTGGGATTGGCTTAAGCAACCTTGCCCTTCATCAGTGGCAGATGCCCAGCAGACATCTGAAGAGTGGTACTTAAAAGGTGTCATCCATCTGGTGGCTGTTTGTGGTACAGCTCTAATGAACATAGGTCCTTTCTTTTGGGATTATGTGAGAAGTGTAGCAGCAAATACAGAAGAGTAAAGCAATAAATAACATGTCAAGGCGGTGAGAATGCTCTTTGAAGACTAAAGGTATATGCTTGGGAGAAATTACAGTCTGAAACTCAAAAAACAGGAATGGGTGGGAGAGGTTTAGATGGGTTCTTCTAATAATTTTCAAATGAATAACTGGAAATGGAAGTTAAAGGAACCTGAAAATGTTGAAAATCTGGCATGAGAATTACATTAGTGAAAGGATCCTGACAACATTTATGTTAAAAATCAGAATCTTAAATTTGTAGCAGTGAAATAAGAGTTGATAAAATAATTTATTTTTGTTGTACTGTGACTGTATTAATAATTTCCTTGAGCACCCTCTAGTGTTGGTACAATGGAAATGTATTCACCCATCATTGCATGCTTAGATGTCAAACCTTCTATGATGGACCAAGCAGATAATGTGGCTGGTCCTATTGATCAGCATTAGTTCATGTCTGTGGCTCAAATCAAGATGCTGGTCTTTACCTTTAAATCCTCAAACAGCTTGGGACCTGGGTGGCTTAATGATTTCCTGCTCCTCTATGTGTCCTTCCATACAAATAACATATTCCTGCTGCTGATAGTTTTTAATGTTGTTTATTGGGGTGGTTATTTTAGATAGGAAGGGTTTTTGTATAATGCAGGGGTGGGTTATTGATGTACTTATGCAACTTTAATAAATACTAATAGACTACAGAGGATAGTATTACAATAATTTTACAAGCTGTAGAGGGTGTAGAACTAAGTTGACAGGTGGAGGTTACAGAAAAGACTGGGGACAGATGAGCATGTTTGGTTCATCATGAAGAAAGCACATGACGGCAGGAAAAAGGGAGCAATTGTGTATTTACAATAAAATAGACTGGCTCTATTTAAATGAATTCTGTCCATATACCTACTTACTTCTTTGGTTTCCTATTTTGACTAAGCAGCAAAAGACAGAATGTTTACAGCCAGCAGTTTAAGAGACGAGCTATTACATCTGGTTAGCTGTAAGAGTTCACACAGTACAGTGGGACCTCGGGTTAAGAACATAATTTGTTCTGGAGGTCCGTTCTTAACCTGAAACTGTTCTTAACCTGAAGCACCACTTTAGCTAATGGGGCCTCCCGCTGCCGCCGTCACACGATTTCTGTTCTCATCCTGAAGCAAAGTTCTTAACCCGATGGTAATATTTCTGGGGTTAGCGGAGTCTGTAACCTGAAGCGTATGTAACCCGAGGTACCACTGTATTTCAAAAGCATCCTTCTCCCGAGTTGGATACTATACTTGGCCCTGCTTCAGCACTGATCTTAGCCTGCTGAGGGAGGAAATGTAGTCCCCAACCCAAAGACCAGGGAAAGGAAAAGAAGAGAAGGTCACTGACTGGACCAGCTGCAAATGCAAGGCAGTGAAGTTTGGGGGCAGATTCCCGAGTTTAATGCGGCCAGCTTGCTCTCTGTGCTTTCTGATGCAGGGAGGATCCTCAACTCCTCCCGGAATAAACGGTTCTTTTTTTATTTAAAAAAACAACCATGCACGATTATTTATGCAGCACGACACTCAGCACCCTTTTGTAAAACGATAATTTTTTAAAAAAGATGTAGAATTTTTTTAAAAAAGATTTAAAATGATGCAATGTGAGGGCTGCCAGTTCCTGTTACTTACAAGAGAGTAAGTATGCATAGGATTTCAACGTTAATGAATCCATTGTTTTGGGCTTGTTATTATTTGCCCCACAAAGGACGGCGGGTTTCCACATTCTTTCTGTCCCACACACTGCAAGGTTTTAGCGGAGGCAATTAGAAAAAGATCTATTATTTGATTATTGATGTAAACCCCCAAACGTATTTTCTATAGTTAAGTTTTTACCTCTATCTTCAGTACATTTTATTTATTTTTTTATTGCCATGGCTAGTGGCTGATGCAAATAAAGATTCTTCTGGTTCTTATTTCCACACACCCGTTAGGAATATTGTAAACCGCCCTGGGATCTTTTGATAAAGGGCGGTATATAAATTAAATCAGTAATTTAAAAATGTATTACTATTTCAGTTCGAAGGCCCTTCCCATCCACCCTCCCGCTTGCTTGCCTGGCTGCCGGCCTGCCCCCTCCTTCCCTCCACCCGCTTTGAGGCGCTTCCCTCTCGGCAGGGGAAAGGAAAAAAAGGAAGAGGCGCAACCCGGAAGCCGAAGCGCGGCGCCGCAGCCCGCCCTTCTCTCTCTATGGTTCCCTACCATGGAGACGGGGATGGGGACAGGGAGCGAGGAAACAATCCATTCGTCCGCGTTCGGCGATCGGCTCGTCAGCCTGCTCGGCTTTTCCCGTCGTCCTCCGCGATAGTGCTCAGTCACGGCCGTAGCCGGTGTGTGTGTGTGGAAGGTGAAGCCATGAAGCAGGGAAGGCGGCTTCTCGGCGCCGCGCCGGGTCGGAGTAAGGCCACAGCCGCCGCCCGCCGCACCCCCCTTCAGCCTCCCCGCCGCTCGCCGACGTTGAGATGCACGAGGGAGGCGGCCCGCCGAGCCCGCCTCGGGGGAGAAGTCGCAGCGCGAGCTCGACGCCGTCACGCTCGAAGCGTGAGGTGGGGGGGAGGGGGAGGCAGGAGACGGGGCGCGCGGGGATGGGCGTGGCTAGAACGCCTCGCGGCGGCGGCGGCAGCAACCCCCACCTTGTGGTTCGATGAGGGCGTGGCCAGCGGAGTGCCGAGCGGCTATTTGGCCGGCCGCGTTGTTGTACCTGAGAAAGGTGGAGGGTGTCCATCCACCGCCGGGGCTGGGAGGGCGGGGGCTAAGCTGCAGCAACGCCCACCTAAAATAGCCGGGTGTCCCTGGGAGGGAGACTTGAAATACAGCGCGGTGCAAGGTTTGGGGGGGGCCGTGGGGGTTTAGATAGAAATAACGTGCAGTATTCCCGTGTACTAACACCTTGGCCACCTGTGTAGCTTTAGGGAGGGCAGCGTGTTAGCAGGTGTTTAAAATGTGCGTAAATGCGGAGAAGATCCTGCAATCCCAATATCACCATACCGGGATTCGGGTCAAGGTAGTGGTTTTTATATATCCCAAGTTCTACATCATGTTTACTTCGGAAGATTTCACCCGTCTGCTTTCCTGCCTCTGCCAATTTGCATCCAAGTAAACATGTAAAGTCTCACTTGGTGTGCTTCTTGGAGGAAGAGATTGAACACACACAAAGTTCGTTGCCATCAACAACAGTTGATGTGTGCTCCAGTATTCCAGGTCTTGCTGGTGTGTGGTTAGCAAGGATGGACCCTAATTATAAACCACTGTAACACTGGAATTCCTTCTCAAAAAAGACTTGCCTGTGCTCATCCTGGCATACTAATTTACATGTGTTTATTGAAAGTTCACTGCAGAGAGGCTTTGTTTGCTTCTGCTCATTTTCTGTCATTGTATGTGTATGACTGGGCTTACTCTGTTTTAGATCTTCTGTTGTTTGGTTGTTATGAATCTCCCTGACAACACAATGAAAATAAAAAAAGCCGTTGTTAACATTTGAATTCACTTTCTATAAACACCTTCATTTGGATACCTATTTGGGTGGCATATTGTGATCTGTATGTGTATATTAAGATGGTTGTATTGCTTGTTGCACTGTGAATGTGAGCTGACAATTTTCTGTTTGCTTTGCTTTTTCCCTTTTTTGTTGTTTTTTGTTGTTGTTGTTTTTCTTTAATAAATGTGCAATAAAAATTATTTAGGTTACAGCAAAGTGTGGAGAGAGTAGGCTGGTGAGTGGATCTGCCTGCTGGAAGAAAGTGAGCATGACTGAACCACTCAGCAGCGCTTTTGTAATCTATATATTGATTTCATGCCAGTGACATATTGACTAAGGCTGCAGTCCTGTACATAGTAACCTGAGAGAAAGTCTCATTGAACTCAGTGGAGCTTTCTTCCGAACAGACGTGTATAGGATTGCACTCTGACCTCTGTAGCACAAAGATGGGCTGGTTTCTATATTGTTGCGGCCGTCCAAAATGTGTTAAGTTTTTAAAGCAAGCTTTCATACTTGGGAACACTCCAACACTACATACACTCAAATGGATAGTGTAAGTGTACCTTACAATTTTAAAAGATGGAGGAGAGTGGCTTTGCAGAGGAAGAGAGGCAGAAGTGGGTCAGAACTGAGAAAGCGGGACCATCAGATGACCACAGGGGTGCATCCTGGGCATCCAGAGCAGTTCACTGCAGAGGAGCCTCTGCTTTAAGATCAAAAGTACAGTCGCATCTTCCAC